GATATTTCCCCCCATTTTAAATTCTTATTATCCAATGAAAGGTTAGATTTTTGTGAATTTTTTAAATAAAAGATCAAAATGATTAACAATGCAGATTTATTTTCACAGCCTTCTTTGATTATATTTACCAAGGGTGCCAATAATTCTGACCACGACTGTGTATATATATATATATATATATATATATATAGGTAGTTGACAAATAGGCAGTAAAAAAAACTTTTTTGAAAAAGAAATGCACATATTTATGTAGTGTGAAGTCAATTCTTTCACTGTTTTTTTTTTTTTTTACGTTTTTACTGAACCATACATTTGTCCTATGGTGTGACATAGCAAAAAAAAAAAAAATCTCTTAATAGTACATAAATAGCAAGAGAGAGATTTATCTTCATTGTCAGACACTTATTTTCATATAGTGCTATTTATTTAATATTAAATTATAATTAACATAATTTTTTCCCAATGACTTGTTGGACAATTTCAAGACAAACTTTGACAACAAGACAAACTTTGTTGAAAATTATACCATTTTAAGTTGAGTGATATTTGTATCTCCCCTATTGCAATACTCAACTGTTTTTTTTAAGATATTTTGAGATGAAAACAAATCTGTGGTTCTTTTATGTGTCACACCATAGGACATTACGTCACACTAAAGGACAGAAATGGTAGTTATTAAATTATTGTCAAATGTCAAAGGAGAAAGAAAGTTTAATTTTGATACAAACAATATCAACATGTATTTTAAACAAAAAATAATTTTCATTAACAAAATCCAGTCTCTTAATCAATCAGTATGTTACTAAAACTCTTCTAGCCCCCTGCTGCATGTGTGGCAGAGCTAAATATGATTGATATTAAGACTATATTCATTAAGATGTGAATGGATTTTTTTAAACTATATGGCTACTCTTTTTAAGTCATAATTTATTATTGTATTTACTTTCTGCATTGTTCTCTTACGATCTCCCTTCTGCGTGGATCCCTGTTAATTTTCTGTCTATATTTCCGTCTCCTATCTCTTCCACTAATTTCTCTCCCTCAATTCTTTCTGTCTCAAAAACATAGTATCACATTTATACTTTATAACAGTACAAGTTTTCTGTAAAAACATCAGAAAATAGTTTAAAAAAAGAAAATGACAGATCGTTTCACTAGATAAGACCATTATTCCTCGTCTGGTATCATGTAGAGCCCTTTGAAGATGCACTGAAACTGTCCTTCAACCTTCAACCGTTTGTTAGCCATTGAAGTCCACTATAAGGAGAATAATCCTGGAATGTTTTCATCAAAAACCTTAATTTTTTTTCGACTGAAGAAAGAAAGACATAAACATCTTGGATGACATGGGGGTGAGTAAATGATCAGGAAATTTTTATTTGAAAGTGAACTAATCCTTTAAAAATAACAGTGAACAGTGGTTTGTGAATGTTGATGCTTAGCCTAAATAATTTTATCGGGAGCGTTCATGTGAGCGCTGCTGCAGTCTTAGGCCCACCCCAAATGCTCTCATTTGTTGAGATGCGTGATGACACCCATCCCAAGCCAGTACTGATCAACATCCCATCCTTCCTGTGACCCATGGTTTGTCTGTATGTGTATTCAGAGCCAGTGAGCAACAGACTTTCATAATAATAAAAAACTGCGTTAATGCGCGATACAATAATAATGCGTTAACTTGCCCAGCCTTAATATATATATATATATATATATATACATACAGTGGGTACGGAAAGTATTCAGACCCCCTTAAATTTTTCACTCTGTTCTTTTGAACTTTCCAACTGATTATGGTGGCCACAGAGAATCCGCTTAAATTAGGTTGAACTTTGTGCTGCCTCTATCAAGCATACACAAGAACATGGTCTATCACAGTAGCTCTGATTTCATCTGAAATGACTGTTCTTGGTCTTGCTTTTCCTCATCCTCCTCTTCCTCCACCTCGTATACGCACTCTTCCTCTACCTCTCAGATTGATGGATGCACCTGTGCAATTTGTACTAGCTTAGGCTATATTTTGTATATTCATATATTTAGAAACAAGTGTAAACAATTTTGAATTATTGTGTGTAAATGATGACAGCTGTGTTGCAGTTGTGCTTAACGTTTGCTTTCTTATGCTTATGGTTTTGCATCATAAGTTCATAACAGTGCAAATTGTATCTTAGTGAGTGAAAATGTGTTTAATGTTTTGCAAAAAGAGTGCATGAGATCTGCAAACAGTGTCTAAACTGCCTGAACTTGTATAAGGTTTTGCAGAAAGAGTGATTTATTTAGTCTTAGCAAATGTGAAAAACTGTAAGAATCATGCGTATGTAAACTTTTGAACAGGATCATTTTTATAAATTCAACTTATTTTCTCTTGTGTGCTATATGTAAACGTATTTTATGTGAAATATCTTATTCAGGTCAGTACAAAATAAAAAATAACCTGCATTATGTATGGTCCCTCTTATTTTGGTAAAATAACATTTTGCAGATTCTGCAAGGTGTATGTAAACTTTTGACCTCAACTATAGTTAAAAGAGCAAAATGTCATGACTTTGATCGGAAAGTGATTGCAACACTTATGTTCAACTGACTTTGTTCACATGACAGCTCAAAACTACAGTCTGAAATGTAAGCTTTGATGATTGCAGATTTTACCTGCAGTTGTAGCTGTCATTTAGAGCTACTCTACCATTCATTTACAAGACCCTTTTAACTGTTATCTGCCAACATTTTTATTTTTTTTATAGGAACGACGAGGACACATTCAAGATCCTCATTGCTACTGACATTCACCTCGGTTATCTAGAGAAGGATGCCATAAGAGGAAACGACACGTTCGTAACCTTTGATGAGATCATGAAACAAGCCGTGCAAAATGAGGTGGGAATGAAATAATGTGGACATATGTTTTGTGACTTTGTGGTGATTTTGTAGTAAATAATTAATTTATGTGAAATGATTACATAAATTTACAAAAATCCATCCAAGAATTGTTTCCCTTTCAATTTGTGAATTGTAATTTTAATTAAATTGAATTTTGGAGAGTACCCAAGAATGTATTGGACGTAATCAGCTTTGTTTACTTTCTGGGGGAAATCCAGAAATGAACGTAATCTGCGTAATAAGTGTTGTTTACGCTTGGGGGAAAGCGTGCGTATGCATTTTAATACTCTCTAAAATGGCGGAAACGTAACTCGGGGGAGAAGGATGGTTGAGTAAATTGTTATTTTTGTTTTCTTTATGCAAAAAAAAAAGTTGAAACTGAAGTTGAGCCACTGATGTCACATGGACACGTGGTGACCCATACTAGGAATTAGTGCTCTGCATTTATCCCATCCTAAGTGCACACACACAGCAGTGAACTTTGTGTTCCGATGATGAACAAAGGTCTTACAGGTTTGGAACGACATGAGGGTGAGTAATTAATGACATAATTTAATGCGACAGCTAGTCTGAATGCAATTGTTAAGTAACTGTTTAACAAGTGATATAATAATGAATCATTACTGCTTAAAAATGTAAGTAGAAAATTCAACTGATAAAGCATGAAATAAGGTACCAAATCAGTGAATTTGAGTTTAATGTGGGCATATTATCAGTAAAGTAATCATTAAACATTTGTAGTCATTTAAAAAAATATTAGCCATTTTTATTAATTCCGAAATAATTCTGTCCACACGAGGGAGCTACAGGGTAGCAAATCCTTCAAGATAAAGACCCTGAAAATGGTTCAATAAAATTGACTTGTAATAAAAAATTGCAAATAAATTCATTGTTTTCATAAGGTTTAATAAAGCCCAATGTAATAAGTATGCAAAAACTGTAATCTCTTAAAGATGGACCATTTGTTTTTTTACCTTAATTTTAATGGTATTGACAATATATTATTCAAGTTGTCAGAAATAACTGAATATGTACAACTGAAGAAGGGACACTATATTATTTATATATTTGCCTATTGTGCATATAATAATCCTTACATAAAGACTCATAATTTACTTGAAATGAGACATCCATTGTATAACTAGATCATCTACACAAGCCATTGTGCTTGGACCCCAATGATTGCCTCAAGTTAAACTGCATTGTTTCAGTTACTTTCTCTGTTGTTGCCAACGCTTCGGTGACAGGACTGAAATAACAAACAGGGAAAACAATAAAAGGCATGACTTACATTGCATCCAGTTCTCCAAATCCGTCCAAGCTCCATGATTCGTATTTGTATTAAATTTTTTTCTTCATTTGAACTTGTGAAAGGATTTTTTGTAAAGTTAAAATCGAATTTACTTTCATCTCGGAAGTGATATTGTGCCTATTTGACAGTTGAGAATGGTCCAATCACATGAGGCCAAAATATATAAAAACAATATTGATTCGGTAAGATCAAAAGTGGGAAGGTCTGGGGCACAGTGCTCTGCACCCTGAGGACAATCTGAAACAAGCCAATTAGAGCTCAGCCTCAAGTCACATGCGTTTCAAAAGTTTACAGACCTGATAGGCACCCATTTGTCTGGTGCCCCGGACACACAAAACAAATGAAATAAAGTTTAGATTGTTTTTATTTTTAATACGTGCTAACATGACTACCAGTTGAATAGTATGACTAAACAATGCAATTTCACGATTATTTTGCAATATATATTTAACTTATTTTAAACATGTTGAAGTAGACTTCTTCCCTGGCTAACTTGATGGTGGCAGCGCCCCAGCACCCCCATTGACCAGCTGCCACTGATGGAATTAATGACCAATGCCAGTGTATTACTGAACAGGGTGATCAGTGAATGGTCAGTATAAAGCCAATATACAATGGAGATCAAAATTAGGGAACAATTTATAAATAATAATTAGATTTTTGCTAAAATATTGTTAATCTTCATCAAAATTTGAAGGAATATCAGCTGTTCATATACCACTGTTCTACTAAGATGTTTGCCAAAATGTCCAAGGCATTTCAATTAAAACCTTTATTTTGTGGAAAACATAGTGATCAAAATTAGAGAACAGTAACCGCTGTAGCCCAAAAGAAGATTACAACTAAAATTTTAGAGGGTTACAGCTGTCAGAAATTAGTAGGACGTGTAGAGGCCTTTTGTTTGAGTGACTTAAAACCAATTAAGCTCGGGGCGTTTTTTGGTATTTTCGCCTAAATTTAACATACTCAAATTCAAATGTTTACCCTGCACACATACAATGTAACGCCATTTTGGACCCGTATCCGGGTCCGCAGAGTTTAACTTTAAGCACATTTGCGACTGCAGGACATCATTAGTTTCTCACACCGCGCCTGTGTGATCTTGGTCCACTCTTCTTCCACCCTCTTCCATAGTTTGGTAACTGCATGGGTTTCTTAGCCATAACTTTTTCGTCAAGCATTTTCCAGTGATTTACAATCGGGTTTAGATCAGGACTCTGGGCTGACCATTTCATTATTTCAATGCTCTTAGCTTCAAGGAACTGCTTTATCCATTTTGCTGTGTGCGGGGGGCAGTGTCTTGCATGAAAATAGCAGGCTGATTGGGAGATGCTTGCATGGAAGGAACTGCACGTTGCTGAAGGAGTTTCCGATAAACATTTGCATTCACCCTGCCATGTAGCTGTATAAGAGGCTCAACTCCTGCTGCACAAAACATCCCCCAAACCATGACACTTCCACCTCCACCTTTTACGGACTTCTTTACACACTTGGGCTTCAGTTTTTCCTTAGTTTGATGCCGACCAAAATGTTTCCCATCGTACCCTAATAAATTAACCTTGCTGTCATCACTAAAGTGAACTTTGGACCAATTCTCCTCTGTCCACACAACATGCTCCTCAGCAAAGGTGAGCCTAGCCTTTTAAATATTTCTGCTGATGAGAAGCTTTGTCACTGCAAAGTGCACTTTCAGTCCGACTTCTTTTAAACTTGCCGAGACAGATCCATACCCTTTTCAGCACTGAACTGGCAAGCAAATCCGGCTGCGGTGTTGAACCAATTCCCCATTGAGAGTCTTTGCATTATCCTGTCCTCTCATGCATTTGTCTTGCGTGAATGACCAGCCTTTTTGGGGGACATGAATGAATTAGTGTCATTGTAAGCATGGAATATTAGAGAAATCGCAGATTTGGAATGACCAACTTCTTTTGCAATGGCTGAAAGGGTCATCCCTTTGGCCTTCATCTGGACAACCTCCTGTAGCAGGGTTTCAATCACCTTAAAAGCGGCCCGCCATCTTGCAGTCTCAGTGAAAATTAAAGAAATGCTGCCAGGTAAATAGGGTTTGTCAGATAATTAAGGAAATTATGTATAAACATATGTATGTTGCTTCCATTGTCCTCATTTGTAAGTCACTTTGGATAAAAGCATCTGCTAAATGATTAAATGTAAATGTAAATTAGCACCAGGCCTTAACACCAATAACTTGTAGGTACTGTATCTGTAAGTGGTCTTTAATTCGATCAGAATTCTTTTTCATACATCTGATTTAAATTTTCATACTGTGATTCAGAATACAATTAATTTATGAAATATACTTAAAAACTGCCCTTCTGCTCCTGTTAGGATAACTTCAAATAGGACTAAGCAGTGACCTTGAAATTTAGGAAATTATAGGTTGTTCTCTAATTTTGATCTCCAATGTATGTGATGATATCAAATGATTTAATTTAAAGATTGTAAAAAAAAAAAAAAAATTTTGGTTTGTCTCTAGTACACAATCTGGTAAGGCTAGGAGGCTGATGAGCCGGGTGATGGGACAAAGATAGATCTTCTTCTTGACTTCCACTTTTGCAAACTAGGGCTGCAACAACTAATCGATCAAATCGATTATCTATTATGAAAATCATTGACAACGATTCTCATTATCGATTAGTCAGGTCTGCCCACAGTGCACGTCCAACTTCAGCCGGTCGCGTCAAATTATAGCACTGAATTAAGCATTTTTATAGACAAAATGCATCTAAAAATAGTGGAGGAAACAGAATGAGATGCTGCGGGAGAGTTACGTGATCCAAGCTGCCCAAAACATGAGATTTCTTTATTTTAAGCTTTAAGCTAATGCATTAGCGTAATGGCTTGCCCTGGCACTTTGACAGATGATGCGTGTGCATCCTCAGTGCAAAAAACTTTCTGTTTACGGTCATATCCTTATGTATAAATGTCACAAATTCATGCGAGCATTTCCATTTTTGCATAAAGGTCCATCCTGACAGTCTGTGTTATTAGTCAAAAAGTACATAAACAATGCCAGCAGGAATGCAAGCTGTTATGAAGGGCATAGGAGGCCTTTTTTTATGTGAATAAATACCATTTAGTTAAGTTTATTTGCCCAATAAATGACAATAACATTTTTTGATTTAAACAATTTTTTGATAGATTCCTAAAATTCCTAAAATGTGTTTTCTCTTAAAGTTAAGAGTCAACCACACCTAACATATCTAAGTCATGATGTGGGAAGATTTGCATAACGCCACCCAAATGTTCACACAAAGAAAGACAGCGTAACTTTTATTCTCGCTGTAGTATTGTTGTTGCCACCGCCGCCATGTCGTGCGCTGTTGACGTGGTTAAGTTGTATTTACAACACTGTTCCAGAACAGTCAAACCCAATTATGCAGATGTGTGCAGCGCTTTTTATGGAGGACTGTTTTCTGATCCTGGGAGAGTAGACCATAATGCCGCTGTTCTGACTCACAGACTGTAAGTACTTTTTCATATTTAAAGGATTTGCCACTGATGATTCTAACGCGAGTTTTGAGCAGTGTAGAGTAGCGCTTGTTGTTTGTCATTTCTCCGATCACAAATGCAGACATGGTTTTATGTTTATGCGGCACGATGCAACGCGTAAAAAGACAGTATAAGTCATTATAATCAGTAATTATGTCCCCACTGGATGCA